GTACGAAAATGACCCGACCGATCCCATAATTGATAAGACCTGTGCTTTTTACCGTTTCTCCCCTATTCCTGGGGTCAGCTCTCTGTTTGACCAAGACTGGACCTGCATCAAGTAGGTGGGTATCAGCTACACTCTCACCAAAAACAGAGCATTTCAGGGCTACCAGATGACTTTGGTGCGGTGGGCCCAGGCACTTTTGCCTTGCTGGGCCCTGTCCTCCAGAAAAAATTTAAAATTCTATTTTATGACAACGTTTTTCTGACTTTAAAAGAAGTAAACATGAAGACATTTTCGTGAGCCCATAGAAGTATCATGAGCCCTGACAGAAGTTCGTTCTCTGTGCCTGGAGCCTGAGTCCTGCTCCCATGACTTATCTGTGAGATCTGGGGGCAATCCCTTGATATCCTTGTCCATAAAAATGAGATGAATGGAAGTAAAACAATATGGAGAAAAATATTCCTTGGTAGCAAGAAACTTGTTTGAAGGGGGGATTTTTAAAAAAAAAATTGAATTATAGTCAGTTACAATGTGTCCATTTCTGGTGTACAGCACAATATCCCAGTCATGTGTGTGTATATATATATAAATATTCATTTTTAAAACATTTTTAAATTGAGTTACAGTCAGTTTACAATGTTGGGTCAATTTCCAGTGGAGAGCACAATTTTTCAGTTATACATGAACATACATATATTCATTGTCACATTTTTTTTTGCTGTGAGCTACCACAAGATAAATATTCATTTTCATTAAAGGTTATTACAAGATATTGAATGTAGTTCCCTGTGCTATTCAGAAGGAATTTGTTTTTTTAAATCTGTTTTTATATACAGTGGCTAACGTTTGCAACTCTCAAACTCCCAAATTGATCCCTTCCCACCTCCTTTCACCTGGTAACCATAAGCTTGTTTACCAGGTCTGCGAATCTGTTAAGAGGGCACGCTTTGGTAAGGGTCTTGGGATGGGGTGTGCTGGAGGAATGACACTGTCTTGTGAGGGGTGCTGGGTGAGCTGGAGCTGAAGACAGAAGTTTGCCCCTCCCCTGTCAGGCCCGGTAAAGGAATCTGGGGGGTCAAGGGCAAACAGGGGGAGGTCAAGGGTGGACATGTCAATGGGAGAGCCTTATGAAGAGGCTTGTCTTCATCTCCTAGGACATCTTCAGTAATATTTCCATTTTTCTTTAAAGGCTTCTGAGAGTTGACTCTCTTTGCGGAAGGTGGAGGGCGCTGAGCTCTGAGCAGGAGCTGAGTGTAGAACAGGAGCAGCCACCTGCCAAGTTTCGTGGGAAGCTCTTAGCCCAGGGCCTGGAAGCGCCCAACAAGCCCTGCCCTTTAATATTAACACCCAAGGCAGGCTTGAAATGCCCTTCTGACCTCATTTACACCATGAATGCCACGTTTAACTAGAAACTGACTGGCCTAGATAATCATCAGGGGCAATGGTTCTCAACTCGGGGGGAGGGTGGGATCTTGTCCCTCTCCCCAGGGGACATTTGACAATATCTGTTTAGAGAAGACTTTCCAGTATTTCTTTTAGGATAGATTTAGTGTTGCTGAGTTCTTCCAGCTTTTGCTTGTCTGAGAAATCCTCCCTCTCGCCTATTCTACACGGTAGTCTTGCTGGGTAGATACCCGAGGCTGCAGGCTTTCCTGCTTCAGGACCTTTGAACGCGTCTGGCGTTTGGCAATGTCCGGAGACCATGTCGGTTGTCACAGCGGGTGGGGGAGATTGCTCTGTGCCCCTAGTAGGTAGAAACCAGGGGTGGTTCTGCACAGTCTGCAATGGATGCAGTACCCAGGACAGCCCCACCACAAAGGATTATCTGGCCCCATGTGTCCTCAGTGTCGAGTATGAGGAACCCTGATATGAAGTCTTTCCTCTGACAACCAGCCAGGAACAACAATCAGGGAACAATCTTTATAGCACACTGTAAGCTTAGCTGACTCTATTATTCAATATTTTTTAAAAAGAAAACAATTTTATTTATGAGCTCCTTCTTCTTCACTGCCTCAGCTGAACTGACATCTAACTCACTTTACTGATAGTGAACCTTCTAAATATATTTCTTTTATTCTCCGGACTGAAAAACCAATGTGACTTTCCAGTTCCGGTAACCTAGCCGGTTAGGATTTCTATCGAGAGCTAAGCTTTCACTGTCCTCTGCTGGAAAAGTTTGTAACTGCTGCTTTAAGTGCAGAGAACAAGGGATTCTAATTGAAGGCTTATCTTTTCCAAAGAGAAGGCCCCAGACTTTTTCTTTGAACCTGTAATTCCCTAAAAGGGCAAAGATTGTGTTGTTTTATAGGATCAATTTCTTTCTTACATAGTACCCTAAACATTTGGACATTTCGTGATCATGAGTCAATATTCCTAGAAGCACAGAATTAATTCATGAAATGGTATCAAAGCTTAATAACAGAAGCGACAAAAGCAGATCCCATGACCCCCTTTTTAGATTTTTGATTAATTAAAAATCATAGACCATTTGGGGAAAGTATAGAAAAGTAAAACGAAGAAGAAAAATTATGTGTAGCCCCACATCCAGAAAAAAATGACTATTTACTTTCTTGGAATATTTTCTTCTGGTCTTTTTTTTTAGGAAACTGAAAAGGTTGTAAAAATTGTTTCATTGTTCGGCTTTGCCCAGTTGTTCATACTACAAATAAAAATGTGTGTCCTGTTCTTTTTTCTCTAAGCACATCATAATTGTTCTCCATGTTCTCGTGGGTATGTTTTATTACTGTGAGGGGCCCAACGTGTCGCCCAGACCCGTTTCCCGGGATGAACTCGGGGAATCCCTCAGCCCCAGGGCCCACCTGAGCCAGGCTTGCCCTTCCCGGCACAGCCCACATCCAGGGACTGACGGAGGCAGAGTGGCCCAGTGGGGAAGAACCTGGCCGTCCTTCGGGCTCTGGGGCTCCCAGCGGATGAGCTGCAGCTGGGCCCTGCCTCTGCCAGATCTGCTCCCCTCATCTTCCACGGCTGCGCATCTGAGTGCTCTTCCTGAACACACCCTGCCTACAAGATGCCCTCTCGCCATCTGCATCCCTGAGAGCAGGGGATGTGCACCGGTGCCTGTAACTTCTTACATTAAAAAATTTTTTAGAAAGGGTCTATTGTCCATCACTTTGGTTTACAATTTCTATTTGAGTCTTTGGAAGAACAGCTTCAGACCACTCAGTGGTCCTTCCTACCCATTTGGTGGCCTGAGCAGTGGGGACTGTGGACTACGCCTTGGGGGAACGGCTGGGTGGGCACAGGGGGTGAATTGGGTGGCCCCTGCCCCCTGACATTCCTCCCTGGGCTGCCCCTTTCCATCTCCTCAGGATCTCTGTGGGAGCAGAGAGCAGGTGTATAGACGGTGCCCCGGATGTGTGGAGTTCCAGGCCAGCATGCCCACCTCGGTCACGCTGAATGAGCCCCCTCATTGCTGCCTGGACTGTGGTGTCCACACGGCCAGAGGCCTCTGGGAGAGGCAAGCGGTCAGCGCTGGGATCAGGAACCATCAGAAGTCACAGCTCCTGAAAGCTCCTGCCTGGGTCTAGTTAGTGAAAGTTCCAGAAGTGAGAGGTAGGTGTGGC